ACTCTTCACCTTCAACCCGCTTGGACCGGTGATAAGACAGGGTCGAGATGACCGAACGGGACCAGGCGTAGGCCGCTTTCGCCAATGCACCCTAGAACACCACCTTACTTTGTCTACAGTGGTAGTAGGCTTTTGCGCTGGTAATACCGTGTTACCTACCCTCACTCACTTGTAGCAGGTGTCAAGATAAACTCAAGGAGACCGAGGTTGGTACTGCTACCAATAATTCTACTACTACTAACCGGCAATATAGCTGAGTGATAGTAGTAGTGATAAAGTAAATATTAGACTGAGGTGGCTGTGAATAAAGTCAGTGCTGGGCTCATATCCCCTCTATCTCAACAAGGAGCGTGAAACTAGGTTTACGCTATTCTGAATAAATACATGTTTGAGGCCCGGAACAAAACAGGGCTTGCTTTGGTTTACGCCCACACAGTTCTATCCATCAGACGGTCAGTTTCTACTAACTTTGGACTACGAGGATTAGGATACTGCTGCCAAAAGTAATGTGCCTACACCAGGAGTGCTAATTATAGTGATCATACTTTGTAAAACCCGCAGATAGTATACTGTACTGCGGCCTGTCTGTGCTTGTAAGAACAGTTCCAGACTGCATGGGGTAAATAATGACCTTATGAGTTAAAGAAACGTTATTAAGTAATGGCTCAAGTTTCTACCAGGACTAGGATATTGCTGCTAGAGGTAATATGCCAACGCTAATACAGCTAATACTAGTAATCATACGCATTAATAGCAATAATACTATATGGTGATACAAGTGAAATACAAACAGTCCAATAATAGCCGCCCTGCTGCTACTCACCTTTTGTGTGAGCTTGTGTTGGCTGTGGCTATCGTACTCAGTAAACTTCCTATGGTAGGAAGTGAGGCCAGAGAAACTTCAGACCATGGTCTCATTGCTTGTCATAAGCCACTTGCGGACTTCTCTGACATTCTCCTTATGGATCTCGTTCCCGGATTTGCAACAGAATCCGCCAAATAATAGGTGCCGGGCTACTACTACTACTACTACTACTACTACTACTACTACTACTACTA